TGAATAGACGAGTACTATTCTGATCACTCCCATATTGTGCCAAGACATATTGGTGTCCATTTTACCATTTTACAAACTTATCGAAGCAGAAAGCGGGATTNTGAGGGTTTTCATCAGCCCATATGTGGTAATTATGAAAATTAATAATCTTGTCCCGAGAAAAACTACATTCGCCTGTGAATTCTATCGTCTTCAGAAAGTCGCAATTTTTTCTAATCATTTCCAGCATCCAATGTCAAAGGGTTTTCTTATTTGCGAAGAGATCCAGCAATAGGCGTCATCTATTAGGGCGACACCGACGCCAATTTTTTCAAGTGGTAACCTCGATTTTCCGATTCGTTTTTGGGTTCTGCATTAAATTTGAATTCAGCCATATAGCACATTTGTAGTTTTCCTTGAATACCGATGAAAAAATGCAATTTCATTGCATATTATAAAGAGGGCCATGAATAAGTCAAAATGAATGCAATAATACAAATGTAATAAAATAATCCATCAGTTATGATTTCATTGTCTGTTCAATTTTATCTAGTTGCGTATTTCTGTACAAATTAAAATAGATGTTTCAAATTACCAAAAAATATGTTACCTTGACCATAACTCAACAATTTGTATTTGTTCCTCGATAAGTGAATTATGACTGTTAAATTTATGGATGTTTTAAGTTTTCTCAGATGTCCATACGGTTTCTTTTATTGACTTGTTTTATGAGTTTTATGTTCTCTGCTGAGGGAAAGTTATGTTTGTTTTGTATGGCGAGTGTTGCGAGGTTTGATTTATATATTATTGGGTTCATGTACGCCTTTTTGTGCTTGTCGTACCTTGGGACCAGTTGCAGTCCGAGCATTGCATGGTGTACACCCCGTTTAGGTTTTTGTCATCTTCTTTTTCATAGCTGTTTATTTTTGTGTTATTTTCGTGCTTGGCTTGTATGTGATGTCGATGTTCAGGGATTTGAAAATATTTGTTAGTTTTTTGGTTTGGTGACCTACGTTTGTGAATGCTGTCCATCGTTGTGTTGTTTTATCTGTTGGAATAGTTTGATCCTTGCTCTGTATTTTTTGTTTCATTCTATTTTCTAATTAATCTATTGTCTTTTGGATGTATTCGTTCTCGTTCGCTATTTGGTATATGATTTTCCTTTCCTTGTTCCGGGCTTCATTGCTAAATGGTATTCTTAACATTCTGTATATGAATGCGTTATAGGCAGCCATTTTGTGTGGATGGTAGGTGGATTTTGAACTTGCAGGTATGTTGGAGTTTGTATGTGTAGGTTTTCTGTATATTGCCATTTGAAATTGTGTTTTGTTGAGGTTATATCCGATAGTTATGTCCAGGTAGTTGATTTTCGAGTTGTTTTCTTCCTCTATGCTGAAAATCAGTTTTTGATTCATTTTGTTAATTTCCTTTGTTATTTGATCTATTCTTATACCATTGTTTTGTGATATGTACAGGCCATCGTCAACGTATCTGAACCATTATCATTTTTCATCATGTGTTTTTATTATTAAGATTTTCTCATCTATGGTTTGCAGGTATATTTCGGATATAGAATAAAGAAAATACTTTTGTCTAGTTTCTACTGTGTTTATTTATTCGTTTTGGATATAATGCTAAATAGTGGGGATCCGATCGCTAGCCCATCTGTTTGTTTATAAATTTTTTATTCTGATTCGAAATAGTTTTGGTTAAGTATTGTAATTGACTGTGTTCCATCTGGTTAATGTAGGCCCTGTCTATGTTTTGGTGTTTCAGTATATCTGATATGATTTTTATAATTTCAAAAAGTACACCTCCACATCATCTCCACAAACTTTTTGGTTTGTGGAGATCAAATCGGGAGCTGCAGTTTTAGAAATTACGATGGATCTTCATCAAGTAACGGCCGAATCAATCAGAAAAAAAAAAAGATTTTTATACTTTCGTTGATCGGTATGTTGGAGTACATGTTTTTATGTCGAATGAGAATAGTTTAGTGTTTGTGCTGATATTTGTCGTTAGATTCTGTCTGTGAGTTCCATTGAATTTTGAGTACCTCTGTTTTACCTACCAAATTGATGGTGAAACAGTGTACTCATTTAAATGAACATATGATCCCAGTAATGGGANGACAAAACAACCGCCATAAATATCATTCTTAAACTCATTCAATAATGAACATTAAAAAAATTCAGTTATATTAGCATTGTTCCCTTTACTACACTGAAGTAACACCTCATAGTCATGATTGGACTCATGTTATGCTGCTGAAAGGAACTAAAGCCATGAAAGAAATCCACAACTCATTGAAATAACACATTATTGTGAGATTTCAAATCATTCAAATTCACCATGAATCATTGACAACCACCTTCCTGCGTGATTTACAACCCACTTTGACTACTTTCAATTGAAAAAATAAGAGATTGCTAGTAATACTCGCATAATAATTTCACAACACTTTGATCTTCACAAATTTAACTGTCAAAAACATACGTGAATACGTCTACCACAGAACTGTATCTTCATCAAGTAACGGTTGATCAAATTTTTCTCTCCTAAATGTAACACGTCGATTCAGTGAATCTTTGAAAAATTCATTACTGCCGCTATTCAAAGTAAACTTAAAACTGAATTGGTCGTCAACAGTGATCCAAACATGAACATTTGTATTTCATTTTACTATTGTCCTGAAATTGCCATTTTTTTTTGTAATGTTTTTTTTTTCAAACGTGGTTGAGTGGAAGAAAAGCACCTTGCTAAACTCCGCCACGTAAAATAAAGACCAGTCATTATTATTATTATTATTATATGTACCACCAAGTTCTTTCTAATTATCCCAGGTTTTAATATGAAGGTGGCCCTAATTAGTCTCCATGTATCCCAAATTCAGACTTCCTCTGAGGATTACACAGAGTTTCAAAACTGAAGTTTTGGTTCTTTTTGTAGCATTGCTTGGTAAATGTCATGTGGTCCCGGTGACTCATATGGATGCAATGAGCTCTCATCCCATTTGCAATATATGATGTAATTCTTAGACATAATCAAAACACTGAATAACGTATTCAGAAAACAATGTATCGTGAGATTAATACTAAACGATTTTACAAAAACGCAACACGTGTTTCACCATGCAATGGCGTGTTTTTACATTGTATGGCGAAACACGTGTTGCGTTTTTGTAAAATCGTTTAGTGAAAATCTCACGATAAAGTGTTTATGAATACGTTTAGTTATGGATTTTCATCAAGTATCATTCGATTCCTGATTTGCTGGTTTCGCTTCGCTGTGTGTGTTTCTTGTGCTCGTCAATGCGAACATTCAATGGCCTCTTAGTTTCACCAATATAGGATTTTCCGCACTCACAGGGTATCCGGTAAATGCAATTCTTGGAATCACAGTCCGCGTTTGGTGGCCTGGTTTTTGTGAGGCAGCTACGGATAGTGTTACCGGATCTGAAGCAGGTTCTGATGTTGTACTCGGAACCAAGTCTACTTATCCTCTCCGATAATCTTCTGATGTAGGAATGTACGTGAATATGTTTATTTCTGTTACACAAACAAAATATGTGAAATACCTCAATCTTTGTGATATGTGGTGATAAGCTGATAAGTCATTTATATTTTGACTCTACATATATTGATATTATGTGAAATACTTAATAAATATTGTGAAAAAATGAATAGAACTTCTGTAGGTACTTCCCTGAATATTATCGAACAAGACTAGTACTGGAGTGTCACCAAGATTTAGCCAGAGCCTTGGTAGGTAATAACATTATCCTGAGGTGGGTTAAAGGACACGACAGGAGTAAAGGTGATCGCAATGCCGACTCTTCAGCCAAGGAAGCGGCTAGACTAAGAACTTTAGGTCTCAGTGGCACCTACGGCCTGATAACTTCGACAATTGCGGAACCAGCCAATTATTGCAACCATGCTCAATCCCTAAAGAGATAGGATGGAATCAAAGGATACAATCTTGCCAGGATCACCTTGGGCGACCTTGGGAAGCTGGCGCCGAAGAAATATCTGGCTGGGACCGGGAAAAGTCTACGCTTAACAGTAGGATTTCTGACTTGTCACTGTCAACTAAGGAAACACCTCCATAATATGGGGCTAGTGGACTCACCTCTATGCAGGATGTGTGAACAGGAAGATGAGACTGCCATGCGAGTGCCCGGAGTTATCGTCAATAAGAGAGTGTATGTTCGGCGAGTCTTGGCCTACACCTGCCGATATAAAGGGGATGTCTCCCAGTGACCTGTCTACCTTCCTGGAAAGGACAAGATGGACGATGACGTAGGAGGACAACTTCTCGGGAGGGTGTACAATGGGTCACATGTGGCCTAAGTGCTGTGGGCTCAAACTCACCCTCCCCACTATACAGATACAGATTATCCAATAGCTATGGAAGTTTTATTGAAATGAAACGAATCATTTTCATTAGCACTAAATAGAAACATGATAGGTGAAAGGATACTCTGTTGAGAGATACAAATGTTTACAGTAATTGATGCCTGCTATTTTTTCGAACATTAAAGAAGCATGTGAACGGTAAATTTTCAATATTGAAATAATTTTTCAATGTTTTCACATATCACTTCATAATATAATCTACATACAGTGCCGTTAATACACACACATTGGGTCAAAAAAGTCTGAAGACTGTTTCGAGAAGAGATACAACTACTTCCCGGGTTAATACCACGCTGGAAATTGAATTATATCCGACAGACATTTATGGAATGTTTTCCGGTAGGCATTTACCAGAACCTACTGTATAAGTAAGTTGTGAGAGATGAATATTTTGAGATTTTACTTTCTCATAGGTATGTATCTCTCTTCGACACAGTATTCACAATTGTTTTGATTTCTGTCAGAGTACTATTTAACATTTTTTTCATATATGCAGCCGAGCCGCGATGAAATCAATTGCGGCTTCCTTATAAATGTATCGAAGTGGATAGTTTTAAATAAATATGTCATTCCTCATGACTATCTCAGCAGTAGAAGGTTATTTGAAAAAAAATTAAAAAATCAATACCATACTCACTTTCAATTCTTGTACATATTGCAGCATACGTGTATCAAGGATTTTTAAGGTGCCATCAGAAGTTGCAGCAAAAATTATAGCAGATGGTGCAGGCATACTTTTCAAAGTATTCACGGAAGAAAATTTTGGAGAGTCCAGATTTCCCAAGTTAGATCCCATGAAAGGATCCCAAATATGTACCACACTATCACATGAAGCTACCAATCGTATACTCTCTATGAACGTCATAGATAAAATAGATTTTTTATGAGAATTGTAAGTCCATTGGCAGTTTGAGGTACAAAAGCCATCACCTTGATTTCTGAGAGACCAAAGTTTTATTGTCTTGTCTCTGCTTCCAGATATGAAGCTGTTCTCATTATCTAATTTGTGTAAACATTTGACGCTTTGACTGTGACCCACGAATGTTTGTAGTTTAATTTGTTTAAAATTTAACGAATTGTTCGAATCTGATCGTCCTATCTCATTTTCCCAATATTCCAACCAGTTTCCACGAAGGTGTCTTACATTATTATCCATTTGGTTACTGAGTAGATCCAGTAACTCAATATTTGAAGTGTCTATGAGTTCATTTTGTACATCAATTCTATTTCCCGTAAGAGACACATTACTGCCGATACTGTTTGATTTTTCAACTACATCTTCTGTTAAGTCTGATAATCTTAGTTCAGGCATTGATTTATGAATAGATAAGCCAATACTTTCTTCATATTTTTGGCATAATGAACGAATTTTATCATGATTTTTCAGCGAAACTTCCAAAGAAGTATATCCTAAGAGCTTAATGAATGGTAAGTAGGCCGTGTATGCTAGTTCAGGAGTAAAAACTTCTCTCAGCTCTTGGAGTATTGTAGACAAAACAGTTTCTTTATCATGTAACTGTCCACAATTGGCTGGTCCCCGTTCTTTGAATGCCACGTTAGATCTCTGAAGTGGTACACAACTTGGAGATACAAATGAAATTTTTTGGGATACACATTGCTTACTGGATGAAGGGGTATGTTGAAGAAATGATACCTAAAACACAAAATGTCAGTGGTGTACAAATTTTTATTCATCCAACTAGTTACCTCATCCAACGATTCCAAGGAAATTATATCAATAGTATCAAAAATTGAAAAAAAACTCTGAACGGCAGGTATCATTAAATATTTCATTGTCATATCAATTCCTATTCTCATTGAAATACTGTATATAGTGTCCAAATATTTTCGTGCCAAAATATTTCTAGCGCAACTGCCACAAGGGAATGTATGTTTCGTAGATCCTAGAATGTATACAACTGGATATATGATATTCTTCGATAAAACACCCTGAAAAAAAGAATATAAATACAGTGTGACCCATTTGAAATAGTACCACCCTTATAAAACATATATCATTCAACCAATTGGTATTTTTTACATTTTTCATTAGTTAGACATTCAATACGTTCGCTAGAATGAAAAATTTCATAAATTACGCAATTAGAAAAATAATATAGATAGAGATAGAAAAACTGGTAATAGTCTGGACTTTAAGTTTAGATTCGTGTTAAATGGACATACTTTTAATAAAATTAAGTGGTTAGGCTCATTCGATCCGGAATATTGTCTAGATCATTGTAAAAAAAAAGAAAATTGGTTCATGAAAATTCTAAAAGTTATAAACAATTGAAGAGCCTGAAAAGCAGAGTTCGGTTTTGTTGTTTATAGTTCGTAAACTATAAATATTTTTGAATTTTGGAAAAAAGATCCTTGACGAGGAAGAAATTTACTAAAAAAATTCCGATTCCCGAAACGGTACCTCCATTATTTATAATTTTAATTTAACGCTGAAAATAGCCGTCCGCGCGCCATTTTTAGGTTGCACAGATATTTTTCTCGAGAGAATTTATCTGGTTGAAGCTGGAATGATTCTGCAACCGTATTAGGAATCACACGTTAAAAGGTAAGACCTCGTTAGTCCTTAGCTCGCACAAGTTTCTCAACTTCTGAGAGTTGTCGTCCGTATGGGGGCGGCAGCTGATTAACAGAAAAACAGATTTTTAAACAGGCATTTGTTTATAAAAATTAACGATTTCCTAAGGTTTTTTCAACTTTTCAGGCTTACAGGTCAGTAAATAATGCGAATTCGGATATTGACCTTCAGAGCAATTTTGTTAATCTATTGTAATGAATCTGAAGCCGGCCCTGACCTTTATCTCAGACACCAAACATATGACTCATCGCGAAAGGAATGATCTCGACAAGGCGCCGCGAACAGTCTAGGCCACTAACGAAATAACTAGAGAAATCTAGCACGGTCGTTGCCAATATATAAGCCGGCTTCTCGTCCCGAGATGACAGTCTGTACCTAGAAAGTCAATCGTGCATTTAAAGAAAGAATTCTAACCGTGAAGATAAATTAAGCGTTAGGTTGATAAGTGTTGTATATAAATTAGTTGTGATAGTGAAATATTGTTAAAAATAAATTTGTTTAAGACAGTTAATTCTTCAATTCGTTACAATTAGTGATCAGAAGTGGATTTTTGAAATAAATTTGTGAGCGCTTGGATCTTTAGATTACGGTGAAATTGACTATAAAACTTTCGCGTAGAGACTGGTGATTCATTGTGTTTCGCGAAGTGGACAGTACCGGAATACGGAAACATAAACTGATGGACCTTTCTTGCGAAAAATACACTTGGGAAAATAAATAAGTGTTTCGGACATGATTAAAATAAGTGGACGTATTCAGTTTTGTGGAAAATAGACAATAAGAGACAAAATGTGTTCAAGGAAAGTGCGCCTAGTGGACTTGAAAGTTGCTGAATTGAAGCAAGAATTGGAGGAGAGAGAGCTAGATTGTTCTGGAAAGAAATCAGTACTCCAGAAGAGGCTGTGGGATAACTTTATTGAATCAGGAGAAGATACCGAAACATATTTATGATAATTATTGTAATAGGAGTGCCCAAGACCAGGCCTGTCAGAAAATTGCTGATGAAATGCACCAAATCCAACATATCATCATTATCATCATCATCGTTACTGCTTGAAAAAGCCATGTTGTCCACAAAACCAACCGGTTATTGTCGTCCTCGTCACTGTCCCGTCCCTCTGTGTGCATTGCATACGCCACACTTCCGCCACGTCCATGCCATATCGATGCCTCGCCTCTGCCAGACGCCCGTTCTGTGTGAATTGGGCCCAAGGTAATCAGAACACCAGATAATACTCATAGATTGGTATCGCAAGCTTATCAGTTCTGGTAGGTTCCTGAACTATTGGTCATACCATAAGCAATCAAGGAAAATGAACTTTCCAATTGATTCGGCCGTTACTTGATGAAGATCCATAGTAATTTCATAAACTACATCTCCCACAAACACAAGTTTGTGGAGATCGAATCGTGAGGTGTAATTAATGAAAATTAACTTGGTCGAAAAAATGAAGAACCACATTCTACAGATTTCCGATCCATCTTTTCACTTGAAGAATTTGAATATACTCAGAAAGGTTAATGCAGTCAAGCTGCTGAAAAATAATTCAATGAAAATCAAAAGATGAATAGACGAGTACCATTCTGATCACTCCCATATTGATTTCTAAGGAAACTTTTACGATTTTTAGTACAAAAACCCAAAATTGGTCAATTAAATGCTAATAACTTCGAATCTTAACAGAAATGTCCGGTTTTTTAAA